GTCTGCCGCCGGCGAGAGCTGCGAATTTTTCGTCGAATCGAGGCGTGAAAACCGCAGGCGATTCGGGAATCGTCGAGGTGTTCCAACGAAGGGTCGGCGGAAAAGGCGCGGTCGTAGCGCGGCGAGACTTTTGCCACAGCCTGTCAGTCCTCTAGGCCGTCATCCTGGAATCGGTAGCCCACACCGCGGATGGTGCCGATCATATTGCGCAGGTGACCGAGCTTCTTCCGGATCGAGCGAATATGCACGTCGATATTTCGGTCTATGACCGCAGCGCCACCGCCGATCACCCGGGAGACCAATTGATCCCGAGTAAAAACACGGCCGGGGTGGGACGCGAGCAGATGTAGGAGCCGGAACTCTGTAGCGGTGAAAACCACCGCCTTCTGATCGACCCGCACCTCATGGCGAGCGCCGTCGATCGACAGCTCGCCCCGTACCAAACGCTCGGAGCCGCTGCCTTCGGCGCGCAATGAGCCGCGTCTTAGAACTGCCTTGACCCGAGCGATCAGCTCCTTGGGGCGAAACGGCTTGGTGACGTAGTCGTCGGCGCCGACCCCCAAACCCAAAACGATGTCGCTCTCTTCGCCTTTTGCGCTGACCATGATGATCGGAATCCGCTGGGTCATCGGATCCATCTTGATCTTGCGGCAGACTTCGATGCCGTCGATTCCCGGAAGGAATAAGTCTAAGAGCACCAAATCCGGCGCCTCCCGGCTGACGGCTTCCAGCCCTTGGTCGCCAGTGGTCGCCGTGATGACCTGAAAGCCCTCTCGGCTCAGGTTGTACTCGACAACCTCAAGGATATCGGGCTCATCTTCGATAACTACGATCTTCTGACGTGTCACTGCAATCCGTCTCCACAGTCCGACTTCGAATAGGTTCGGCTGCCGCCAATTCTATGCGGAATAGCGAGTCTGCCCACCGAAAACGAACGACTCGCTCAAATAGAGCTGGTGAAATGCCCGTTGGTGAGCCATGCCCACCGAGCCGTCACCAGTTCTTATGCCGTACGACCTCGGCGTCGACCAAAAAGACGACGTCTTCTGCGATGTTGGTCGCCAGATCCGCGATGCGTTC